CAAAATAAATCGTGCAAAAAAAGAAAGTTAGGGCCTGGCTCCGGACAGTCGCATAAAAGTCACGTATTTATTTTCGTGCAAAACTTTCTCATAATTTCAAACAGAATAAACTTCTTCGCCATGCTGCTATTACAAAAAATAAGAAAAATAAGAAAAATAAAATTATTTCCAATGTTGGCACATGAATCGTCTTCTCACAAACAATAGAAAATTGAATTCTCGAGATGTAAGTGGAGGATAAAACATTACGACTCAATCAATTTTAAATGAGTTTCAATTGGACAAAAAAACAATTTAGAACTTACATTTATAATATTGAATTAAAAATGACAAAAAAATTGATTTTACTATTAAATTTTTATGACGATATCTTTTATTCCACATTTATCAAATTATTTACGTGCGAAGAAATGGAAAAACGTTTACAATGAATGTTTTGTATGTTATTAAAAAAGATATATGTCACAAGTATGACATATAGATTTTTCAGAGATATTTCTTCATAAAGATGTCTATTTGACAAGAACATGAAAAGAAATAAATTAGTAGAAAAAAAAGATTTATTAGAGAATCAATATCCTCTAGATCGTTGAAAAATGGAACGCTTGACTTATCGCAGATTGCATAAAATAAACGAATGAAATTTGATAAAGTAAGACAGATCACGTTACTTTTTACCATAGTTGCAGCATTAGAAAATTAGATGATTTAAAATATATGGAAATATAAAAATAAGAGATAAGAAGATAAAGAAATTTCAATTTAATTAACTTCTCAAGATATAAATAATGCCGATAAAAGAAGAAGAATTAATTAAAAACGTCATAATTCATTTCCTCACTTTTATAATTTATTTTCTCGAAGGTGCTAATATAATAATTATCTCGGAACACATTTTTGACAAGCCAGTTTGTATTCTTCCTCGCGGTACGAGCTCCAACTATTCTACTTCTATCCGTCGATGTCAATAGCGGATGCGCAAATCAAGTGTTCGCGAGATTTGGAATTTCCGGGACTTCCGCCAAACATAGTCGTCGCGCGCGCGCACATCGGGAGGCAGAGAGCGGAACAAAAACACACGAAGTCCCTGGACGCGGCGCGCGGGCTTTTGGCCTGACCTCGCTTTGCCACCAATTAGCATCTCCCTTAATGACGATCGCCGAGCGTGCACGCGCGCTCGCGTGACACTCGCACGCCGATACACGCGTTTACGCGCGCACACGTGCACGCATACGTATGCCCGCGACGCGGCGTGAGCGAGACGGAGACGGCGAGTGATCCATAAAAAAGTCCTTTACCCCCACCGCTCGTGCGGCTGGCCCCTCTCGCTATCTCGTCCTACCAAGAGCGCACACGAACGCAATGTGCGCACCCCCGTGGGATCCCCACTCTCGCGCCACGGCGCTCTCTTCGGCCGCTTGCTACCGCGAGAGATCTTTATTTTGATCGTCGACCGATTAACGGCTGGCGAGCGCGCGTTCTCCACGCCCCCTCCGGCTCCGCTCGACCAATCGGCACACGTGCCGCCAGCCATTTTGGTCCACACGGATGCTGCGCGCACGTGTACCATCCTTCTCCCTTCACCGTTGCGAGCCGCGTACCGCGGAGGGTGTAGTCTCGCGGATGTATGTGTGCATATAATTGCGCGTGTGTGTGTGTATAGTTGCGTGTGTATGTGTATGGAGCGCTCGCGCGCACTTGTTCATCGAGGCAGAGTATTTCCATTAGAGAGCAGGAGACACACGAGAGAAGCCCACCGTACCCTCCATTTGCGAGGACAACAAACGCATCGCACGTCTCGTATGGTTTTCAAGAAATCACGATGAGCGATGACGTGTTTAAAATTATTATCAAAATTGCGTGTGGTCACGTGGGCGTGAAGTTTCATGCCAATGGCAAAATGGTGAACGGAGCGAGGAAGGGCACGAAATTGCCTTAGGTTTCATCGAGAATAATGGCAATGCGGAGTACCATTATCCTCGCTTTCTTCCCTCGTTTCCAACCAAAAGAGAGCAAGCGATTCTCTCTCGTCGCGCGTTATTACGCGTAAATAGTTACAACGACCGGCGTTAAAT